GATTTGGACAATTTTGCAGTTACACTCGATATAGATTTTATACGCACACGCAAAATTCTAGAAATTTCTAAATTCGAGAAATAAATTATGAAGCACTTTTAAAACAGAAATCTGATGTTTAGTAACATATTGTGTTATGGCCCGGTTCCTTGTACCACGGTGATAGTCCAAAGTAGAACCAATAAAGAAGAACTCGAACACAGATATGGAATAACACACATAATATTACAAACAGGAATATATACAGAGAAGTAGAAAGTGTTAGTACGAACAATCAGGTTTAGTAGTAATTGTCTCAACGCGACTCTGTTTTGGACTGCCTCTGACTCGACTGACTGACATACTCCTGACGGATTCACTCCAGACTTCAGACTGAACTCTAGACTTCAGACGGAACAGTATTTAGTCCCCCCCACGAGGGCATCATGTGGCACAAGGCCGGTTTAACGTGGGATCTCCGAGCCCGTGGGCTCTGCCAAAAATATGCCCTTTGAACCCGTATAAACGGGTTCAGGGTCGGTTTACCTCTCCGAAACAGACTCCGCACTTCGGCGGAGCCTCGATCGGGTTCCTCCCCTTCTGAAGGCAGAGAGTTCAACCGATCAGCCGGTCGGCCGACTTCAGAGTGAACGGTATTTAGTCACCCCCCCCCCTCACGAGGGCATAATGTGGCACAAGGCCGGTTTAACGTGGGATCTCCGAGCCCGTGGTCTCGGACAAAAATATGCCCTTTGAACCCGTATAAACGGGTTCAGGGTCGGTTTACCTCCCCGAAAGAAACTCCGCCCTTCGGCGTAGCCTCGTTCGGGATCCTCCCCGCCCGAAGGCAGAGAATTCAAACCGATCAGCCTGTCAGCCGGTCGCCCGACGTCGGACTGATTTCCCTGCTTCCTCTCGAGAGGCGCAGTATTTATTACGTATGGAATAGTCCATTAGGTTATTATGGGTTAGGTCCCATAACATATTGGCTGTACGATGTATGACAAAAAATATCGGGACTGAAGCTATAAAAAATATTGCATCAATTCGACATCTAATCCCCTTTCAGGCCATCCCCTTTATATACTATCCAGCGTCGATTCCATTGATGGAAGCATTCCTTGAAATACTTGTTTGAGATAGCAAGCAGCTGCCCCGTTGCATTCTCATGACTTGATTCGACGTCTTGAAATCTTGTTCCTTTTAAGCGGAGTTTTGGAGAGGAAATAGATGTAAGGGTTGATATCTAGGGAATATAGTTGTTTGTCGAACCTGGAGAATATTGCGTTTTACCAAAAAGCGCTGCGTAAGCTAATGTTACTGAATGAATCTCTGTGATGTGGGGAGACGACCACACTCTACACACTTTCTTATCAAGCTCTGCTATAAACAAGGGAGGTAAACACTTTATCAGTTTGTGTGTATGCACGAATTGAAGCTCAATCGGTGTCTAGTGACTTTACTCTTCGTACTTTGGTCTGTTACCATAGAAACAGTTTTTGAACAGACCTCGCATGTGACCAGAGGACTTTTAACACTCCCCATCGTAAACACGACATTGAAAAGAGCAAGGAAAAGAGAGGAAGAAAATAAAATGAAACATATGTGAGAGAGAAAAAAAAGGGAATTATGGGAATGAGGAAGAATGAGAAAGTCTATGGAAAAAAGCGATATTCAGCGAGACACAGATGTGAGGGAGTAAGATATAAGGAATGAATGAGAAAGAAAGATTGAAAGAATAAGAGTATGAAAGAGAATGGAAGAGAGAGGGAGATAAAAGAAAGGTACTGAAAACAAACAAATTAGGAAAGAGAGCGAAAGAGAGAAGGAGAGAAAGAGAGAAAGTTTGGAAAGAAAAAAAGAGTCGAAGGGAGATATGACATGAGAGAATAAAAAGACGATAGTGGGAGAGAAATAGAGAGATCAAGATAGATAGATAGATAGATAGATAGATGTTTTTAAATATAAAGACATAGCATGAGACAGATAGTTTTAAATATAAAGACATGTTTAGAAAGAGACAGACAGATAGATAGATAGATAGATAGATAGATAATGAAATATGCTAGATCAATAGACAATGAAACATTCAAGATAATGAACTATGCTAGATAGATAGATAGATAGATAGATAGATAGATAGATAGATAGATAAATAGATAGATAGATTAAGTAAAAAATAGTTACCATTTTTGGGAACCAATTGTAATGGCGAATGTATCATCCTAACTACTAATCGTATGTAGCAGTTAAATGGAGTGCACTAACATATAGGGATGACTTAGTCATAAATCTACAGACTGAGATAGATAGATAGATAGATAGATAGATAGATTTACTGACTGATTAGGTTGATTTATAAGTAATTTCCATTTTGGGGGACCAATTGTGATGACGAAATATCCTAACTACTAATCGTATGTGGAAGTTAAATGGAGTGCACTAACATATAGGGCTGACATAGTCATAAATCTACATACTACGATAGATAGATAGATAGATAGATAGATAGATAGATAGATAGATAGATAGATAGATTCGGCTGAATCATAAGTCACTTTCATTTTTGGGGACCAATTGTAATGACGGATATATCATCCTACCTATTAATTGTACGTGTCATTTAAATGGAGTACATTAACATATAGTTTTGCCAGAGGTGTATCAAATCTCTGTGTTTGATATACGCTTCTTGACCTTTCTCACCCCGGGCGGTGAGGAAACCAGACGAGACTGGAGAGATATACAAACCCGATGACGTTATCACGGAGTACACGGGGAAATTTTGGCCGGAACTTACGTGCTCGAAAAAACCCACATAAAAAAAACGGCCTTGTGCCACATCCCACCTTGTGGGAAGGACTTGGGAAAATACCGATTTTATTAACATATAATAGATAGATAGATAGATAGATAGATAGATAGATAAAGACAGGAGGAAAAAGAGAGAAATGTAAGTACAATACAGACATAAGCATAAAAAATTAATTGACTTACGTCCAAAATAAGATTAAGCATAAATTTTATCAATTTGAACATTCTTATAACAAGATACAACGTATGTGGTTCCCTTCTTGTAAAACGATTACTTTCTCACTTCAAGGCATGAAAAAATAAAACCAAAATAAGAAAGTCAAGTTCTTAATTCATTTTATATTATCTTTTCATAAAATTTCAACTTATTTAAAAATATAACAAATTCAATCTCGCCATGTGAACAGTATAACAAGCTTGGAGCAATAAAATACTCGAGCAACAAGCAGCGGGTGATTTCAAACTGAAGACAAAATTAGCATCGTTAAATCCATTTGCAGCCTTTCTTAGTCTGTAAATGGAAATGTAGAATTCGAATAAGGACATCACTTCAAATTAAATAATGTTAACCTTTTCGACGAACTGCTGATCTTTGTCTCTACGCCGTTCGTCTCGTGTCTGACGATAAATTACATCCAGCAGCAAGGTCTCTGATCGAGAGAGTGGATATTTTGAGAGTCGTGGAGCTACCCGTTAACTTTTGTTGTTCTCAGCTTCACCCTGACCGGAAGTTGTAACAACTGTTAGTGTCCCAGCTAAGGGCAAATAGTCAACTCTCAGACCAATATCAACAGTATATTTTTTTTATAATAAATTGAGCAAAAATACATTTTTATAGCAAAATGATAATCAATGAAACACTAAAAGAAAAAAAATAATATTTTATATAGAAATTATTATCAATGGATTTTACGATCTAAAAACTATATATCTAAAAAAAATACCTTTACTCAAAATGTATCGCAAGGAAAGTTGGCTCCCTGTGCCGCGCCAAGAATTTTTTCTCCCCGGAATCGATCCTCCAGATCTACAATTCAACAATTCACCCTTGCATGGAGTATTGCTGACATATATGGTCTGGAGTCCCTTCTGTTTGTCTCGGGGTTCTTGATAAGATCCAGAGGCGGATATGCAATATAATTGGCCTTGTTCTGGCATCTCGTCTACAGTCGCTCTCACACAGACGCGCCGTTGCCTCTCTGTCTTTTTTACAAATACTTTCATGATAATTTCTCCGAGGAGCTGCATTCGCTGGTTCCCAGACTTCATGAGTTCAAGCGCCCTACGAGGCTGGCATCCCGCTCTCACCCCTTCACTGTCGAAACTCCTAAATGTAGCCGTCTCTTCTACTCTAATAGTTTCATGTCTCGCACCTCTCGCCTGTGGAACTCCCTTTCCAATTCCAGTTTCCCTGAGAGCTATGATCTCCAACTATTCAAATGTAATGTCAATCGACATCTCCAGTTGCCTTGATCTATCCACTATCCTTCTCCTCATCCTTTCCTCTATCACTCCTATCTGATCTTGCTCCAAATCTTCTGCAACCCCCTGCATCCTAGTGGCTTCCCACCTTGTTTGGGATGAAAAGCTTAAAAAACATATATATCTGTAGTCAAACGCATAAAATTACATTCAAAATATTTAGAATTCGGCATTAGAGGTTGATATGCCAACAATCCATGCGTCCTTGTCCCTTCAAGATGTAGCTGATCATGGCTCTCCACAATTTCCTTTCCATTTGAGCTCTTAATAAATTGTGTCGTTTTGTTATTTCTCCTAAACATTGTTCTCCCTTCCATTCACTCAAATTCAGTAGTTTATGCGTTTCTTTCCTTTGTTCCTCTTACGTTCAATCTCTCTTGTGAGTATCTAATTTTCCAAACCCTCTTTCCTCATTATGCGCCTTAGAAATTCCAACTGTCTCTTCCTAAATTTAAGTAAAAGTTTTCTTTTTGTCTCTATTTTCTCTCAAACTTGCCGTTGCTGACATGTTCGTCCGATCCTATCCCCAGCATCCTTCGGTAGAACCCCATTTCTGTTGTTCCGAGTCTCTTCGTCACCTGTGAGGAGATTGTCCATCATTTACTGCCGCGTAGAAGGACTGATATTGACTTTATTTTCAGCGTGATTTTTTTCTGTGACTCATGAAAAGGACATTCAGGGAAGAAGATTTATCCATATAGCCCAAAATGGTGATATTGATTGCATTTTGAAATTCAAATTTCAAAACCAGCTCGCTTGCATCTTTTTTTTTTTTTTTTTTTGTTTAATATTTGCAAATATCTATTGAATAATTGTTACAGCTGGATCAGGATTTTGATCGCCATAATTTACTCAAAAAAATTATTACCAAGGTTTTTGATTTGATACCAGTACTGAACTGCTACGTGATATCTGTGCTCCTGTATTGCAGTGAATGCTGTAGAATCTTCTCAAACATGAAGAAGAGACTCCAAGGAACAGAAATATGGTTCTACAGAAGGATGTTAAGGATACCATGGACCGAACATGTGAACGACGACACGGTTTTGGAGAGAATGGAGACAAAGAGGAAACTTATACTTAACATCAGGTAGAGGCAGCTGAAATTTCAGGGATACATAATGAGAAAAGACGGCTTGGAAAATCTGATACTCACAGAACGAGTAGATGGAAAGAGGAACAGGGGAAAGCGTGATATACATAATGTTCTTGAGCATGTGTGTGTCGAAAAAAGGTTGGGAGTAACAACAAAGGAGACAAAATTTCTTAAGAGTTACAAGGGACAGGAAGAGGTGGAGGGCCATGATCACCTACGTTCTGAAGAGACACGGTACATAAAAGAAACAACCAAGCTGATACAAAAATATGTTTCAAGACTTCCTCGACACGGTATTAAATGAAAGCGAGGCAAAAGACGATACATCAATTGAAAGAAAATAGAATGTATGGGTGTCAGAAAGTCAAAAAAGCCCCAGATACCAACTACGAATTGGACATATCAAAAACAAACAATTACAGGAGATTGAAAAACTGGAAATCGGATAAAAGATGACGGAAAAAGTGACACAGAATGCTAATGCCGCATAATATGCATCCCAAAAATAAATCTTACTTATTATAAAACGCAGATTGTGTGTGTCTGTACGTTTATATATTGGATCGGATTTCCTACATTTTTCAACCGATTTCAAGAAAACTTCACAGGACTACGTAAAATTACCTTGCAGTCGTTCTGACAGTGCCAAAAATTGGAAAAAACGCATTCGTTTTTGCACGAAATCAATTTGAAAACACGATTAAGAGGCATTAATGGAAGGGGGACAACTCATATCGATTTATACTTATTAATATCGAGTTATCGAGTTTTACTTATTATAAAACCCAAGTTAGTTGTGTGTGCGTGTTCGTGCGTGTGTGTGTGTGTGTGTGTGTGTGTGTGTGTGTGTGTGTGTGTGTGTGTGTGTGTTTATATATGGGATCGGATTTCCTACATTTGTCAACCGATTTCATCAAAACTTCACTTTTTTTTTGCAGGTAGTGTTTTTTATTGTCTTGCACACTTTTTTCTTTATTTTTACTTTCAGAATGCTGTAAAAATTCCATTTACAAGACAATTATTTATAATAAAATTTTATTCAATCGATAGACTCATAACGATTGAAAACAATGTTTTTTGTTTAAGTTTGGGTTTGACCAATTCGTAAAAAAAAATAAAATAAAATAAAACTAATTAAGACATGCGTGTCCGTCAACCTTAAACAATAATCTTTGTCAATTTTATTTTTCAGTCTTTATGATGGTCGATACTTGACACATCTAGCCATTTCAACTGTAAGATGATGAGATCTTGCGAAAAATCTATTAGTACGATTTAAATCATAAAGTCTAATAATAATAATAATAATAATAAAGAAAGAAAGTTCGGAGAATTTGACACTCAGAGAGCACATTGTAAGCAAGAGGGGTAGAAAAAGCAGTGAGTAACTAAAAGGCTGGTGAGAACGAATTTCAGAATTGGAGGGGGAGAGATATTGAAAAAAAATGTTACTACGAAGGGATGGAATTTCTGTGAAGCCATGGTCGCTTAGATCTGAAAAGGAACAGGATATATAGAATAAGAAAACCTGTGTTGATAATGTAGATAAGAGAGAAAGAAATTTTCCTTGCTGCCTACAAATCAACTCTTTCTCCATCAACTATCGTGGCATACCAATAATAAGACCTTTTAGTGATGAAAAATTGTGGAAAATGCGTTTATACCATTTCCAATTGTATTACTGTAATTAGACAGTTAAGCAAAACAACCGGATTTCAAATGTACCAACTTTCCGCAGAAATTCCAAAGATAAATTCACGTAGATTCAGGGCCTGAACGGTCATAGCTCTCCACCATT